TTATTCTCATATATAAAGAAGAAACATTAAAGGAATAAGAATTTATCTCCTATTGAGTCTAATTCCCATAAGGTCTAATATTCATTAGTTTTCTCAATTAGACCCTCTGGAAATAGTATTAACTTTTCCAGGCCAGAGGCAATGCATAAAACTAAGCATGGAGAAATAAAGAAAAATCTGATTAAAATGTCATTAGAACACTCAGGTGATTGATCAGTTTGTCTTAGTCCCAAAAAGGCTGAATTGAAACCCCATCAGACTACTCTCTGCTCTCAGTCCTCTCCCTCTCCCTCCCTCTCTCCCCACACCACCATCCTGTCATTGTTTGTCTCCCTCCCCACCATCTGTCTCCCTCCTCCCTCTCACACATACCTGTGCATACTTACTTCCTTCATGTTCAAAAGATAAGAGCATATGAACAACTTCTTTAAAAATTTCATCACTTTCACATGAAGACCTATTAAACAGAAACATATCACTCATCTTTCAAATTCCATGAATACCAATCAAAATGTGAATCTGCTAAGGTGGACCATTTAAACCATAGAGCAACATGGTTCCAGGAAAGTAGTTATACAAACCTAGCTGAAATAGGAAGACACAAGTGAGGAGGTAGACAGAAGGATGTCCAGAATTCACTGACATGAAGCTTCCAAAAACATCAAGTGGCCAGCTGAGGAATCCAGCAGTTGCACACCTATTAGATATTTTCATGTAAATTATGAATCCAGCAAGGAAGTCAAAAATAGTGACAAACACTTAAGCTGGAGTTATAGTCACTAATCAAAGGCTTGCCTTAACCTGTGTGCAGTGGAAACTGTGCTTATTTCTTTTTATTGGTCTTTACTTTCAAGTTAACAGAACACAATTAACCAAGAAGAAGCACAATTAACCAAAGAAAGCCATCAAACAATGAGTTACTCAGTCAAATGCCATGGCAGTGTATTTCGTTCTTGGCTCCCTCCACAGCAGACGATTTTATACGCTTTTTATTAAGAAGAACAAGGATACGCAGTATTCCACTTTCCTTCTCTCCTCACTCCTGCCTCTTCTCGTGCCTCTCTGAATCCTCCTGGAATTTCTTTGCTGATATCTGTCCTTCTCATAAACAGTTAAGGGTGAATAAACTCAAGTATCCTTCGTTGGCCTTCTGTCTTCCTACTCTACACTTTCCTATGGCAAATATCAGCTCTCCAGTTGTTTCACCTTT